TCGGGAGCCTTCTATTTTAAGTCAACAAAATTTGTTTTGTTGGGTTGATATAATGCCATTCGACAAAAAAATTGGAATAATTGAGTTAAGGACCTTCAACTCTTGCTAAATTCTACTTAAAACCTCCAAACTTTAAATCCACTCAATTTAATCCCTAGAACAATAAAATAAAGGACTCTAATTTTTAAATTATTCACCCAGGTATATGGGGTGTTACAAAATTAGTATTTGTGATACCCTCTATTACAATAATGTTTTAACAATCAAGAAAGCATTGAAAATTTTGTTTCCAACACAAAAAAGCACTAAAAAGGCCATTTTTGTGTTGCAATTTAGGTTTTTTATTTTTTAAACTGATATATGCATTGTCAAATTCACTTCTAAATTAGCATATCTTGCACTTAGTAGAATACTGTACATAGTGTAACAATCATAATCCCACCTCTTGTTATATTATCAAATAATTTGTCTTAATGTTAGGACTGATGCCATTCTTCTAGTGTTTAAATCATATTGTGCCTTTTTTTTTTTAACATAAAAAATGAACTAATTAAAACATACTATGCTCTGGGAAACATACCTCCCACTTTATCCCCAAAAAGAATCTACTGCAAACCAATAGGAAGGGAATCCAAAAAGGTGACTCCATTACAAGCCGTATGACCCAAAGAAGCTAAGAAATTAGCTGCTGTGTTTCCTTCACGAAGTGTGTGGCGAAGGACAAAGGAAGAAAATCTACTAGAGATGGTTTTAATGTCCATAACGAGAGCAGCTCCCAATGCTCTAGTATTGCCATTATCCAAATCATCTACACTACCACTGAAGAGTCCATTTCAGTTATCAATCGAGAAATGCCCAGTGAAAGGCAAAGCTTGAGGCCTTCTTTCAATCCCCATAATTTTGCAACTAAACCTATGGCCTTACCAATGTTCACAAGGAAACTGTGCAACCAATTCCCCTTTGAATCTCATATTAAGCCACCTACACTAGCTAAGCCTTGTCGTAATGAATCATCTATATATAATTTAAAGAAATCATCCTCAGGTGGATGCCATTTAACCCAATGAGTTTCTCTTTTTCTTCCACATATTACATTTGATTGGGCAAGCGAAGTTTAAAAT